GGTGGTGATCACAGGCTGCTTCCTACTGTGTCTCCTTCTCCACCTGTTTCAAGTCACAGCCAAGTAGGAGCAAGCCCATGTGTCTGCCTACCTGGCCACAGGTGCTGGAAGGGGCACGGGTCTGCAGGGGCCATGGAATGTGTTCAGGTGTCTAACTGTGGATCCTGGCACATTTATCTATGTCCTCCAAGGTTAGGGAGGAGACTAGGGTCTACCTTGCGCCCACTCCAAGAATCAGCTGAAGGAAATGTTCTTTAGTGGCAGTGAGGTCCCTCCGGGTGAGTCCCCCTTCTGCAGGGCTTGGTGGAGTTTTCCCTGACACAGTGTGGGAGGGTCAGGGAGGGGCCAGCAGAACGCCATAGTTTGGCTCTGTCCCACCTGTGGTCTGGGTTTCACTCAGATATAAACGTCAAACGTTGTCTGCTTTAATGCTGTAAACAAAACCAAACACAGTTATGTAAGGAGACCATCTTTTCCTTACAAGGTTACAGTGTGCTACTTTGCCAAAGGGTAGGATTCTTAGGACATTTCCAGAAAGTTGAATGTACTTTAAAAGAGAACCTGACATCTAAAAAATAATTTTCAAGTTTGGAGAGAAGTACGGGATTTGGAGAAGACAATAGTATTGTCTGTGTCGTGTTTAATTTTTGTTTTTTGAACTGGGGATCAAACTCATGACTTTGCACTCACACTTGTCAGGCAGGCGCTTAGGCCACTGAGCTAAATCCCCAGCAGCACCCCACCAAAAAAGGTCACCAACAAAGTGAAAAGAAAAGCCACAGAGTAGGAAAAAATTTTAGATAGTTGAGCCTCAGACAAGGGACTTATATGTAGAACATATAAAGTACTAAAAAAAAAAAAAAAACCCCTCTAAATTCAAAGACCCAATCCCAAAATGGGCATCTGATAAACACTTCTCGGATGAAGAAATACAAATGGTAAATAAATATAGGAAAAAATGTTCAACATCATTTGTAATTTGAGAGATGCAGATTAAAACAACACTGAGTTTCCATCTCACTCTGGAAAGCATGGCTATCATCAAGTCAACCAGTAACAAATGCTGGCAGGGCTGTGAGGAAAAGGGACCTTTCCACTCTTGGTGGCAGTGAAACTGGTGCAACCACTGTGGAAATCGGGATGGAGATTCCTCAAAAGACCAGGATTAGAGGTCCCATTGGACCTAGCTATTCCCCTTCTGGGTATCTTCCCAGAAGAATTAACAACATCATACCACAGTGATATATGTGTATCTGTATGCAGCAGCACGATTTGTAATAGCTAAATCTTGGAAACAAAAACCAAATGCCCATCAACTGAGGAATGGATAAAATATATGATCTTTTTATACAATGGAGTACTACTCAGACATAAAGAAGGCTAAACTTGAGACTTTTATAGGTAAATGGATGCAGCTTGAGACTATAATCTTTTCTTTAAAATAATTTTAAATTCTGATTTTTAAAATATTTAAGATTTTATTAGTACATGTTTACAGTACATGATGATTATATTCACTGTGGGGAGTTGATGCATGTACATAACAGCTTGATTCTTTTTTATTTTTCCTTACCCTCCCTTCCCTTCCCTTCCTAATCTTTTTTCTTAAACCATCCATATTTCGAGTTGAAAATTTACTCAAGTACCATTACTTACCTTAACTTTCTTAAACGGAGTATATATTACCTTTCAAAAACAAGAAATAACTGAAATTTAATGATGTAAAAATTTATAATCTCTTACTTAATGAATGAACTGTACATATTTATTCCTGCATTTTAAAAAGCCTTTGTTCAAAGTGTGTATAATTTTATATTGTAAGAGCATATAAATAATTTTTATTCGACATATTTAAATTTCATTTTTAAGTATTGCCTCTTTTTTTTTGTACCACTTAAGAAAAATGTAGATTGTTACAGCATACACTCCTGAAAGGTAGTTCATTTTTATTGCCTAAACAGCAATTTGAAGTTGTTTTTTACTTACAATAAATAGTGACGCAAGGAAGTTCCTGGTGGGCCAAAACTTCCATTTTTTATAACTACCACTGCAGAAAATATCTTTCTGTATGTGCTTTTCACTCTTTAAGGATTATTTCTGTGAGAATAATCCTGAAAAATGGGAGATACAGAAAATTATTAACAAAAGTGGAGAATTTTTCAGATTCTTAGATCTCCACATGATGATGGTGGCTAAATTATATTTATTGCTATGTTGGCAGCACTTTCTGTATTGCCAGTTTCATGGTAGATACTCTGAAAAATGAATCGAATGACTACAAAAATTTTAATGAATATATGGAAAATAACTTATTATGGCTCTGGATAATGGATGAAACTATTGCATTGTGTGTTTCTTGGCCCTGCTGCCTGCTAAATTATAAAATGTAGAGAAGTGGAGTTGTTCTTGAGTCTTTTCTTTACCACTTCTGTATCAGCCACTGAGTGCTGGTTAAGAAATTCCCACAAAGCCTAGTGGCTCAGAACAGCTTCATGTATTCATTACCCCTCACTGTGTCTCTGAGAGAGGATGAGTTATTTCGGCTTGGGGGTCACTTGTTGGTAGGTGTTTTCATGTTAATAATTGGTGGGGGCTGGAGTATCCATTGGAAACTGGCTCACTCGTGAGGCTGGCATTGGTGCTTGCCGTTGGCAGGAGCTGCTCGGGGTCTTCATGGTGTGGCAGCTTTCCTGCAGCTTCCCCAGAATGAGCAGTCCAAGAGGCCATTTGGGAGGCTGAGTAACATAGCTCCTGTCTTCTGCATTTCTTTTTTTTTTTTTTGTATGAGGGATCGAACTCATGACCTTGAGCTTGCCAGGAGGTGCTTATGCCACTGAGCTAAATCCCTGGCTGTCTTCTGTATTTTGTTTCACTTGCATATTCATTCATTTTCCTTGCAAAAGTTCTCTCTTTCTCCATTTTCATCTCTATCTCCATCTGCATCTCCATTTCTGTCTCAAGGTGGGGGGCAATTCTGCCATCAGGATGACTGCTGTTGGGCTGGAGGATAGAGCTTGCTGTAGCTTGTTGAATTCATTGGTTGTTCTGAAATGACTCATCTGGGAAGAGCAAAGGGGTTTTACTGAAAGAAAGGTTCTTATTTAGTAAGTCTGGAGTGGGCCTTGAGGTGCTGCATTTCTACCACATGTGCTGACGATGCCCACTTTTAAGGTCCTGTGAGTCACAGGAGTCCTGGATGCCAGCTTAGGAGAACCCTGGAACCACCTGCGAAGCTTTAAAACCTACTCATATCTGGATCTCTCCCAGATATTGCAAGTTAGTCTGGAATGCAGTCTGATTATTGGGCTTAGAAAAGCTTCCTAAGTGATCCTAATTTGTAGAGGAACCACTGAATTTGATGACTGAAAAGTTGCTTTAAAACAAACCAGGACATGTGCCAACGGCCCCGATCAGATGGCAGGGGAGGAAGATCTCTTGAAGAAGGGTGGAGGCTTCCACTGTTAATAAACACCATTCATTCCACTCTTCTGTCATGGCTGCCGACATCTCTGATGTCTCAAAGCTGTATTTCCAGGACAGTGGTACAAGGTGACCTTAGTCACCTGTCCTGTGGTTCTTGACCAGCAGATTCAGTCCTCATCTTGCCCTAAAGCTGGGAACTTCCTCCCGTCTCCTATGTTCCATCTTTGCAATACTCAAGCAAAGGTTCCTAGGATTTGCTAATGATCATGTGACCCATGTGGTCTGAGCTCGTGAGGCAGATTGGGCTGGTGCCTTCATCTGAGGTTTCCTGGTTACTAGCTCATGCAGATTCCGAGGTATTTCTGCCACCTTAGAAACATGTGAAGCAGTGACACTCCTTGCCTTGGCATTTTCTTTTAAAAATTCACACGTGATACAGTGGTAGAAGGCAAAATGACCAGATTCTCTTTTCTGATGTCTCAATGGAAGAATGGTTTGTGTGCCTCATTCACTGCTTTAGGTGAAATCTAGAGGGAGGCGGGCATCAAGATTTCGATCTGGGGCAGATCGTGCCTTGGGCCTAGTATTGCCTGAGGAGAGGAGAGGGGAATGGAGGCCACCCAGCCTCTGCACTGCTGCCCATTTTATCTACCCTGCCAGTGCCTGTATTTATCACTGTCTGCTGACCGGCTTTTTAGGTGCAAGGAGTTTTCCTTGCCCTCCTCCCTCCTGCTTCTCTGTACCCACCTGCCCCTCTGTACTTCCTTCCATGGCTTCAGAGAAAGCGGGGAGGGCGTTCAGATTTTATGTTTGTTTGTTTTTTCTCCTTAGCTGTAGGACTTGATATTTTCAATTTTGGAAAAACTAAAAGATAAAGAAACTGTGGGGTTTTTGTTAGCTTTGTTTTTGTAAGGAACAAAACAAAACAAAACAAAACAAAATGAAACAAGTAATGCTTTTCAGGGGCCTGTTGCTGACCAATAAAGAAGCCAGTTTTGTAACTATAGAGAGAACCTGGCCGTAACCATGAGTGAACCTCCAGAGTTCTGCTTAGCATGAATGGATAATTTCTCCAGTGTCCCCATCACATGTTGTCACATAGTGGCAGGAAGAGAATTCCTAACTAAAGGGCACAGTCAAAATATGAAGAGGACGCAGCTGGCCAGGGCCCCTACTGTGTGAGTTTGCTCCTAGGTCCAGGAAGCTGGAGAAGCAGAGTAGTATCTTATTCTTTTTCCTTGAAAAAGTGAGGCCCTGAGTGAGGGCCAAACTAAGTACTTGTATGGTTCAAGCAAGCCCCTCGGTGGTCAAAAACAGACTGCAGATATCATTGAGCCATGTCCTATCCATCGGTTAATAATGGACTTCTATATATGAATGCTTCAGATGATGTTGGAGACCCAGAAAAGGACAGACAAAGCCTGAGCTCCTTCTCTCCCTCCTCTCAACTAAAGCCCACTCAGTTCCTTTGGCCAAGCGATTGATTGTACATTGACAGAACCTGGGACACTTTGCAATTTATACATCTGCAATCCCCTATGGCTTGGACTGATTTTGTTTGTTTCTGGATGGTTTAGATTGGACGACTGATTATTGGGCAGAACGGCATCTTGTCGACCCCTGCAGTTTCCTGCATTATCAGGAAGATCAAGGCGGCTGGTGGAATCATCCTGACAGCCAGCCACTGTCCTGGAGGGCCAGGCGGAGAGTTTGGAGTCAAGTTTAATGTTGCCAATGGAGGTACGTGATTCAGAAAATGCCACAATCGTAAGCTTCTTTCCTACTGTATTACCACATTGTTTTTTGATGATCCTCTTATGGTAGTCAAGCCAGGTGGAGAGGAAGCAATTAGCTTAGAAGACTCTAGAAAGTTACCCAAGGTGATGAGATAGGAAAGTAGCATACCAGGCTCTCAGACCTATTTGGTTGGTCTCATGGTCTCCTGAGCTCCTCCAATAAATGATTGAATAGTTTACACTTATCTGACAGAGGTGGGCTCCAAGTTATAAATTTGGGACATACCCTGAAGGCCATTGAGGCTGTTTTTCTCATTTTACAGATAAATAAATCAAAACCATGAAACCTAATTTGCTGTAGAAAGTCATATGGTGGCTCAAAGAAAGACGTGACTTTTAGTTCAAGCCCTGGGCTTGCTTGCTTTTTATTTTTTTAGTTTTATTTTTTGGTACCAGGGATCAAACTCACGACTGCACGCTTGCAAGGAAGACACTTATGCCACTGAGCTAAATCCCCAGCCATGGGCTTGCTTTCTTACAGTGTTGGTTTTCTTTTAGTGAAATGCACAGAATTACTTAATTTGTTCTTATATTTATACATATTTACACTAGCAAGAGGTGGAACATATGTATAATGATGAATCTCTTAAAAAGTGAAATGTAACACCAAACAGGGAGAAAAATAAAGGAAAATACTATGTATCTACTACCTCTGTTCCATTTTTCTATTTTTTTAAAAAGCAATTTAAGGAAAAATTCAGCATGAGGACATTTCATAGCTACACGTTTATGTCTCTCTCAAAAAGAAAGACATGTTCCTTTGTAACTACTGTACCATATCTAATAGTAATAACCTTGATTCTCTAATCTCATCTGAAATCTAATCCGTGGTCAAATTTCCCATTGATCTTCAAAATTTTGTTTACGGCTATTTGATAAGTAGAGATACATCTCCAAATTATAAATTTGTTTACTGAGACTCTTGCATGTCTTTTAAACAGTAATGCTGACTGAGTGCTGCATTTTAAGCAACAACAGTTATCATTATGAATTATTCCTGGTCCCTGGTGAAACATACTCTGGAAGGAGTTTATTACTTCTCCCTCCTGGAAGCACTTTGAAAATTATCCAAACAATAAACTTCATTCATGCTGAGTGTTAAACATATTCCATAACCACAAGCAAAAAACTACGGCAAATTCACACGTGTCTAAGTCTGTGTACTACAAAAAGAAAACAGATTTATGCAGCTCTCAGTTTTAGAGGCTAAACGTTCAAGATCAGTAGCCTCACCTGTTCAGCTTCTGGTGACGGCCTTCTGGCCTCATCACAGGATGGTGGAGGGCATCATGGTGGAAGTGCATGCAGGTGGAGAGAACAGTCAGGCTCATAGTGAGACAGAAAGCAGAGGGAGTCAGGTACCAGGGCTTCTCTTTTATCATAACTTGCTGTCTCAGGAACTAACCAGTGTCTCACAGGAACTACATTAATCCCTTTTAGGGGTGGTACCCCAGCAGCTTAGCCATCTTCCACAAGGTTAATGATGGTTCTACCACATCAATTCCATCACATTGAGGTCAAGCATCTAGAACATGAACCTTTGGGGGATACATTCAAACTATATCCAAACCAAAGCAATTATATACCCATTTTGTAGACAGAATCACAGGAAGTTTCAGTGTAGGGTGAGGGCTGAATTTATCAGTTAGCCTTTCCCTATGCTGAAGATCCTTTAACATTTGTTTGTGTCTGCATATCTTAGCCTTATTGATGAAATTGACATTCCTCATGGTGTAGAGGGACTCAGTTGGTTTTTTCTTACTCAATGTAGCATAAGTTCTTCTAGCATCTTTCTTTTGCAGGCATTCATCTCTTCTGGTTGTGTGCTATAAAAATACATCTTGGAGATGAAAGATTAACTGTCCCTGTAGACAGAGGGACAGGGCACACATTTAAGCCTTTAAAATATGGTCAGAGGACAGGAACATTCAGAGCATGTTTTTAAGTGGAAGGGAAGATGAGGACAGTGTTGAGGAGAAATGGAAACAGTGGAAATTGCTAATGTTTTAAATACCTACAATAGGCTGGTACCCATCTCAGCACATTCCATATGTTTAATTCTCATAGTGATCTGATGAAGTAAAAGAGGAATCAGATGATTAAAAAAGCTTGACTAGCATCACACAGTTAGTGAATTGTGAAGCAGTTTACATCCTAGATCCCAGGAAAGGGGCAGAACTTCTACAGAAGATAGCAAAAATGAGTACAGATGTAACTTCGAGGGGCACAGAAGTTTTGGGAAATGGTTGCCTAAAGCTGTTCAAAAAGCACTAAGAAGTGTCTCTGTCAATGTGGGACAAGACTAGAGAAGAAACTTGGGGTAAATGAAGATATATTGCAAAAGGTACTCTGGGGGCCAAATCACTCCTTAAATGTCAACTTGACTTTTTAAGGAAATGCATCAAATATTTCTAGTCAATTCTCATTTTAAAAACCTAGGAGTGCAAAGATGGTGACCCTTGTAGAGCTTTCAGGGATAACAAACAGCTGACTGTGGCATGAATGCCAAAGATTGCATGAATGCCACCACTGGATCAGGGAGTGAATTGGGGAAAGTAATTAATTTACCTGGTTACATTCATACATCAACGAGGCAGCAGAGCTGGCAGTAGAAATTATATTTTCTTTTTCTGCGTGCACTTGGGAAACTGTAGTTTAAATCTGGAATCCCTCACTTCTGTCAAGTGAATATCCTGTTTGTGTCTCATATCCTGAATAAAGCTGATTACATAACCAGGTCTCCCTAACAGGTGTGACACTATTTTTAGGAGAGATGTATCATTGCTTAGAAGTAGATTAAAACAAACAAAACATGTAGGTTCTTAGCCTACAGAGAACAGGTGAGGGTGACCAAATTTCCTCCTCAGTAGATGAATATTGTATAAGGAACTCTCAGGGCAATTACACCTGGGATCTTCTGTTGTTTAGAGAATGAATGAATCTTTGTTCTTCCGGGTGAAGAAGGATGTAACATTTCTCTGGCTGAAGTGCATGAGATTATTAAAAAATGTATTTTGGGTGTTCACATTTTAGGTCCGGCCCCAGATGTTGTCTCAGACAAAATATATCAGATCAGCAAAACTATTGAGGAATATGCTATTTGTCCTGATCTTCGAATTGACCTATCTCGACTAGGAAGACAGGAATTTGACCTGGAGAACAAATTCAAACCGTTCCGAGGTAATAGATAACATATTTTTAAGAAGTCAGAACAACTGCATGGAAGGGTGCCTTACAAGGGGCATATACAGTGGAGTCCAGGTGTGCATGTGCGGAGTGGGTTTTTGGCCTGATAATGACTAGTGGTATCCACAAGGGAGCACACTCATGGAAATTACTGAGTCACACTCTGAAGGGTGACTTTGCAAAATAGGTGGAAACTGTATTTGATGCAGAAAGAAATGGGGGTGACCAAATATTCATATCTGAATACTTTGAAAAGCCATTTCCCAAACTCCATGTCATTTTCCACATAGGAAAAAAAAATTATGGTGGACTTGATTATAGTATTCCTGAAATAGAGTTTGAGTTTCCAAAACTGGTCTTTGATGTTCTGACCAATTAAAGTGAAGATGCGGAAATGGCTTAGTTAGGAAGACTGTTAACCAATCAACGGAGTTATCAAAATTCCAATAGGAAGTACATGTTTCTTTTATAAGCCAGAGACATGTGATTCAGCTTAATTTAACACACAATTATTGATACTCTCTTTGTATTGGTATTATATTAGGAGATTTTACAAAGGAATTCGTTAACTGCCAAATGTATTTAAACAAGTGGTTCAAAAACTAAGAACCAGAATGAAATTGTTTTAGTGTCCTTACAAGTTTGAATACAGTCTGTGGCATCCTTATTGTACGAATAATGTAACTCAGCTGTAAAGTTAAAATCCTGGTTCATGGCCACACAAATGCTTTTGTGCAGAAAATCTTGAAATGTACTGTGCAGGCATCTGAGCATTGGGCCATTGTTGCCAAATCTTTCCAGCTTGTGAGCAGAATTTACTGCAGTACGGATCCTCGCTGGAGGGGCCAGTGCCATGCATGTGTGTGCACACACATGGAAGGGCTAGGCGTGTTACATTAAATGGATGATTCGGATGTGCTTGGCTGCGTGTGGTGGAAGGAATAGGCTGTAAAAGGACTGGGAAATTCCAGCCATTTCAATCAGGACAAAGCTATTTTTCCTTTTTCTGTTTGTTATCCTCACATTAGTTGTAGTTGTCCAAGAGACCCACATCTCAGAGCTCAGATTCAGGCTGTTTACTGCAGCCACTTTGCTAATTAGATTATTGCCTTAAAATGCTGCTGGTAACTAGGAGGTGAGAGGAGCAATTCCTTGGTTCCCAAGACAAATGTGGAGATAATCACTGGAGATAATTTACGTGATATTAATTGGGAACAAATCAGTCCTTGGCATTTCACCTTAAAATGTCAAGAGCATGACCTATTTGATGTAAATTTTCGATTTGTGTAGACTTCTGGCTTCCTTGTTTTTCATGTTTCTCTTTGGTACTGTGTGTATCTGTTACAAGTACCAAGTGTTTTTTGGCAAGTGGTTCAATAATTGAAGATTCGGAATGAAATTACCAAAATTATTACCTGAAGTTATTGAATAAAACTTCGAAAGTACTTGGGGCATAATGTTTTATTTATTTTTTGAAGTATTGGGGGTAAAACTCAGGGCCTTTTCACTGAGCTACTCCCTAAGCCCTTTTTTATTTTGAGACAGAAATTCACCAAGTCACTCAGGCTGGGCTCAAACTCCCAACCCTCCTGTCTCAGCTGCCCACAGTGCTGAGATAACACGTGCGCTATCATGTTTCATATTATAAATTAAATGTGACATAAATTTATATAGTATAAAATTAAGCATTTTGATGATGTTGATGCACAGTTTTATTTGAATTAATTTTTAATTTTCTAGATTAGAATTCCTCTCATTTTAAAGGATAACTAAAAATAGTCCATGTTCTTTAAAAAGTGATAACATTAAATTAGGAATTTTCAAACCATTGGAATACAATGATTTACATGTAAGGGAAAGTATTTTTAGATATGTATTTAACAAGATGAAGGGGTAATTTCATATCATATGTTAAAACCTAAACTGCTAAATATTACATCTAGATGTACCGAAAATTATTGAAGGTAGATGGATTGGTAATGTCTTCAGAGCTTGTTTAACCATTTCAGAGGTCCAGAGGGGTATTTAAAAGATGAGGCAAAAGGGGTTTAAGGGAGGAGGGGAATGAGAGAAAAAGGAATCAAGATACATCATGTACAGGTACAAATTCCCTATCACGAATGTAGTCATTATATTTATCTAAATGGTACCAATAAACTTAAAAAAAGAGAAAGAATAAAGGAGTCTAGGTAAGAATTACAAATAAATGTAATGCACAATCTAAGGTTTGATCCTGAATCAAACCGAGAGACTGAAATTTAACATAGGCTATATATTCAATAGTCCTATTCTAGGAATATACTATTTCATGAATAATTGAAAAACTTAGAAAAACATTATTTATAAATTTTAAAGTTAATTAAAAGCACTGCTTTTAAAATTTAAAGTAAGATAAAGTTTTTTTTTTTTTGGTCTCTTTCCTTTTTATCAGTACTGGAGGTTGAACTCACGACTGCCTGCTTGCAAGGCAGGAGCTTATGCCACTGAGCTAAATCCCCAGCCCCTGTAAGATAAAGTTCTAGTTTCTAAAAAAATCAAACATTTACCACTTCTGGAAAATTACTTTCCGAGCTTTATGTACCAATTAACAAGTTTGAACAATGTGATTTATTTTTCAAGTAAAGATAAAAATATTTATCTTGGATTCCTGGTAATTAAATGGTACCGGACATGGGAGAGTATTTTTGCTTCATGAAGATTTTCAGGTATTTGGCCCAGTCCTGGGAGCTGGGTATGAGGCAGGTACAAAACAGATTTCATGCAAATTCAGAGACACTGTAAAGCTTCTGTCACTACTTTTGTACTTGGAGCTGGTGGGCATAATGCATTTGGGAAATAGGGGTCACTAGTGAGGTCACTTCTTTCTTTGTTTCATACCAGCTGAGTTGTTCTTTGGCAGAGCCCCGTGGGAAAGGCCACTGGGTATGCCACGATACCTGCCTGCATTGCTCTGTGTGCATTTTTGGGGCAACAGGTGGTGGAAAGAAGGTGCAGGAAACACACAGCACATTCTGTCTTATTTTTATGGTTTTTCACTTAAAAGAAGAATTCACGACTTGATACTGTTGTTATCCATTGATTAAAAGCTTTGTAATATTTTGTTATGCTTTGTTTGTGATCTTGTTTGTAAATGGATGCGTCACTTCCCAGGAGATGTGAGGGGTTGTGGTGGGCTTGTGCTCACATTCCATACCCCTGGATTAGTGATTCTTTCTTACACTTTTAGAAAGTCAGTCTCCTGGCTATGGTCATTGACACCTGCTTTGTTTCCCCATTGCCAGTGGAGATCGTGGACCCCGTGGATATCTATCTCAATCTCCTGCGGAACATCTTTGACTTTAACACCATCAAGGGTTTGCTGACTGGGCCCGGCCAGCTGAAGATCCGCGTTGATGCTATGCACGGAGGTGAGCTTATGGTTTTCCACACATTTCTGGGAAACACATATTTGGGAGACCTCTCCACATGTTGGGTTTCTGAGACTGAAGAAAGATCCACTGATTCATAGATACACAATTTATGCAATTTGTAATGTACTGGGAAAGTATGAGACTCCAATTTCTTTCTTTTGGGGTAAATGAAAATGAAAGTTGAGCAGATAAATTTGAGGATATGCTTATGGGAGTGTGGAGTGGACTAAACATGTGTCTATTTCAAACAGAGTCTGTTATGAAAATAGTATGTTCCCCAACTCCTTTTTTCTTCCAACTTCCTACTGTCTAGAGCCAAACTTTTCCAACTTTTAAAAAAGTATTCATTTTAGTTTGTATCTCCCTTTTACTAAATACTACAAATATACATCTTCTTATTAATACTCCAGTTGTAAGAATTATTGAATTCCTACTATAAAAAGTTTCTTTTGTGGGCCTTTGTAGTCAAACCCTTCCCATTTTGCCCAGCCCTTGTAACTATTTTTCTGCTTTCTGCTTCCATAGTTTAGCCTTTTCCAGAAAACCATATAAATGGGGTCATAAAATCTGTAGTTTTTCACTTTGGTTTTCTTTTCAGTGTAGTGTTTTTGAGATGCATTCATGCTGTTACATGTATTAGCAGTTGTTCTTTGTTACTGCTGTGTAGTATTCCATTGTATTGATACACCACAGTTTGTTTATCCATTTGATAAATGCTAGAAATTATGTCCCACTAGTTTGTGGTTATCACAAATAAAGCTGCTATGAATATTCATGAACAAGTCTTTATGGGAATGTATGCTTCCGTTTGTTTTGGATAATGACCTAGGAGTTATATTGCTGAGTCAGATGACAAGTATGTCTAAATATATAAGAAACTGTCCAAATTGTTTTCCCAAAGTAGCTTTACACTTATGCTACCCACAGTGTATAAAGTCTTAGATTCTCTGAATCTTTACCAGTGCTTGGTGTGTTAATCGGTTTTCCCTTGCTGTAACAAAACACCCAAGAAAGTTCAAGGAGGAAAGGTTTATTTTGGCTGATAGTTTTCGAGCTTGCAGTCCAGGATGAGCTGGCTCCGTTGCTTTAGGCCTGTGGTCAGGCAGAAAAGTACAGTGGAGGAAAAATGCTCATTTCATGGAAGAGAAAAGGCTTGCTGTTGTTCCTTCTGACATCCACTCTTTGAATGGTGTCAGCCACATTCGGTAAAAGTCCCCCGTCAGTTGCTTGTGCCACGTGGCAGTTATCAGCAGAGACTCTCACAGACATACCTGGAGGTGCGCTTTGCCAACTCCTGGGTGTTGGCAGGGTTAGCTGGTACTTTCCCCCTGCTCAACTTCAGCGATTCTTTTGCCTTCTTAATCTCTGATAAATATTACTAATACAACTTTCAAAGTTTTTGTCTCCCAAGTTCTGTTTCCTCTGGGATTCTTTTTGTGTGTTTCAGTGTCATGTTAAGTGCATTTTTCAAAATCGTATTGATCCTTGAAGATGCAGCATGTTTAAAATGGAGTCACTTAAAAATCTGTAAGGAGTTTTGAGCTCATGGTCTTATCTTCCATGAGCTTTCTTCCAAGGGTTTTGGGTTGAATAGTATTGTTTTCTCCTGTTAGGCTCATCCTATTCCCCAGAAAAAGATCTTTCAGGTTTTTGCTTTAGTCGTGTCAGGCCTAGAGAAAACACAGCTCCTCTTTCCAGATAGTTCGAACACTATTTCTGGGGCTGAGCTTCTTTGCTTGGCTTGTACTTTATGACCATCTCTGAATCAGTCATTCCGGTGGAGGAACATGGGTCACGGAATGAGCAGACCTAGGACAACTACTTGGCCATAAAGGCAGTGGGATTTAGCCCCAAGCAAATTGTTTGAATTTAGGTGGGAAAGGAAATGGTTTTCCAAAAGAAACCCCAAATGCTGCTACTAGAGGAAGAGAAATGGGTGCTGGCCGGGCAAAATCCAGAGGTGTTTACTATTTGAGAACTGTGTTATATAGGTGGCAAGTAAATGAAGGCGGTCCTTTACAAATACAGCACTTCAGCTAACAGGATTATGTGGCGGTCTCTGCTGTGCCTTGTGTCCTAATTTAGGCTCTGTTTCCTCGCTCATAATGTTCCTTCCATTTGGATGGCCTCCTCGCCACTTGTCGCATTTACATTCTCCCATCAAGAATCCTCAGAAATGCTGCATCCTCCTGGAAGTCTTACCTGTGGTCGTTGCTTCTCTTAAACCAGGGATAGCTGAACTTATTCACTTCTCCTCCTCCTCTTCTTCTTCTTCTTCCTCTTCCTCTTTGTCCTCCTCCCTCCCCTTCTCCTCCTCCTCCTCTTCTTTAATTTTTTTTTCACTTTAAAGAGATTTTTTTCTTTTGGTTTTTGAGACAGGGGCTTACTTTGTAGTTCAGGCTGACCTTAACCTCACTGTGTAGCCCAGGATGGCCTTGAACTCACAGAGATCATTCTTCCTTGGCCAGGACCTCTCTTTTAGTCTTACTGTTCCAATCACTTGTCTATGGATTTGACTCAAACTACTAATAGATTAAGGGTCTCAGAATTTAGAAATGATGTACAATATTGCCTAGACACTTCACTCTATGCAATTGTGAAGGAAGGCTCTTTAGTACTTATTTTGCAAAATTTGCTTGGTTTTGTAGTATAGGATGCTTCAGTGATTTTTAGTGTCTAATTTTAAACTGCTTACACAAAGAACATTGCTAAAAACATCTATTTTATATATATATATATATTCAACTAAAGCATTTAATACATGAAAAGAGTAGATAATGAATCATTGTAATATAGTTGGTTTGTTTCTAGAAATATTTTAGAAAACTTTGGGGAGAAAAACTTCATCTAACTGGATTCTTGAATATATCTTCTATGTGCTAACACAGTCAAGATACTATTGTAGATGTTTAAAGCATGTGGAATTTATCTTTTCCTTGTGGGCTATTAAATGCTTTCTTGTCTAACCACAACAAAATACCATGGGAGAGGATCCTGCAAATATTTCACATCATTGCTTATCTTTTTTAGTTATGGGACCTTATGTAAGAAAAGTTCTCTGTGACGAGCTGGGAGCTCCAGCCAATTCTGCAATAAACTGTGTTCCCCTTGAAGACTTCGGAGGGCAGCACCCTGACCCAAATCTGACGTATGCAACAACCCTCCTGGAAGCCATGAAAGGAGGAGAGTATGGATTTGGAGCTGCATTTGATGCTGATGGAGTAAGTTGAAAGTTTTCCATCATCTGACCTCCCTACCATATTTTAAACCAAGCGTTGGCAACTGTAGAGTTAATGACCACGTTTGCGGCCTGTGTGACTGGACCAGATGGCCCTAACTGGCCAAGCAAGAGTTTGCATGTTAAAGGGGTAAATACTGCAATTTAATAACCTTCACTGTTCTTATTTTCAGGTTAACGTGTTATAAAGAATTTCCTTTAAAAACCTAGCAGTGTAGTAAGTCTTAATTTACAGCTGGTTTTGTTGAAGGCACCATAGTGAGGTACCTTCAGCAGCGGCAACTGCTGTTCTCATTCTGCTTGAGGAGAAGGAGAATTAGGTCCCTGGAGTTCTGAGGCGTGGGGTGGTCCTTCACTCACAGCAGGTGGGACACATTCCTGGTCCCGTCACACTTTTGGACACTTGCTATTCAGAGATTTCCAAGGTTTCCCATGCCCTCTTGGGCCTCATTCAAACTGTTTCAGGTTGTTGAAGACTGCAGTGAAGTGGCGTGGGCTGGTTACGGGGATGGGCGGCCGGCAGCGGATGTTTCTGCTGGATGATTTTCACACATTCCTTCCCGCAGGACCGTTATATGATTCTTGGCCAAAACGGCTTCTTTGTGAGCCCTTCCGACTCCCTGGCCATCATTGCCGCCAACCTCTCTTGCATTCCGTATTTCCGTCAGATGGGGATTCGGGGATTTGGGAGAAGTATGCCGACCAGCACAGCACTGGACAGGTAAGCAAGACCGGCAGCCTGAAATGCTGGGAAACAGGGAGTCCCCTTTGTTGGTGGCTGACACTCATTCTCTTGTAGTCCACTGGGAAGTCGTTCAAAGCATGGGAACTTAGAGATACAGAGTGGTGTGCTGCAGCGATAGAGGCTTGGGCAGTCAGGAGGCCTGAGCTTCCTTCTCGTTTCTTATTTGACCTGCATGCCTTTGTTTCTTTATCTGTAAAATGGGGATAATAACACTATCATCGTTATATGGCTTGTTGTTGGGTATGAATAGCACATCTTGCAGAGTACTTAGTATTTGGCAAATGTTTCATAAATGCTTAGTAATAGGACTTATTAAATCTGCAACTGTATAGAAGTGAAGTGGAGAGGGCATGGAATTGGACGCCAGATTATATTGCTATTCACAGGTTAGGGTTTACTCCTATTAGCGCTGCCAAAACAGGGAGGACACTTGATGGGTTTGTTGTGAAACTGAAATGAGATCGTGTACGGCAAGTGCCCGCTAGGAGATTTGCTTAGCAGGGTCTCAGACAGTGTCAGATTTCTCTCTCCTTGTTCTCCTGCCTACTGTCTTATCTTATGGAACTTCAGTGTCTCATTTTCTTTAACAGCATATAAGTGTATAAAAACAGGACATGCATGGTAGAAAGTTAGGAAACACAAAATGTGAACATCATACCCTTCCCTGAGTTACCCACGTCGATAGGTACACTTACGTTCCTTACTAGATCTCTTCCTGTAAATATAAATATATATCACACAATTTAAACGCATAAAAGTGTACACAATAAATATGTACATTATATAATACCAAAAAGAGACCAGAAAGGACATACTTCATGTAACCTTCTTTTCCTTAACTATCCACAATCTCCATCTTTCAACTAATACATTTTTATGTCGTCTGTAACCAAACATATACCTGTATCCCAGGTATCCCCAGAATGTCTTTTGTGGTTGTTTTGACCAAAGTAAGATCAGCTCCAAGTTGCATCTGCTTGAGTCTGAGTGTTTCTTCAGCCAGTGTAACTGTTTCCCTTTTGTTTAATGACAGTGATTTTTGAAGAGAACTCACCAGTTTTAAAGTTGGGCTCATTGTCTTTTTCTTGCTGATTTGTAGCTTTTTATGTTGCCTAATTGTCCTTTAGGATGTGTATACTGCAGACATTATATTTGCCTGCTGCTTGCTTCTCCATTTCTTAGTGTATTTGTATAAGCAGACGTTTTAAATTTTGATGAAGTCCGGTTTATTAATTTTTTCTTTTAGTAATCAATTATATGGTTATTATGTATATTTTCGTCCTCTTCAATAAACACTTGGTCCATAGTCAGAGAGATATTTGTCATTTTAGAATCATTGTAGTTTTATCTTTTATATTTGTGTTTATCATGGTTTGATTACGTTTAGTTAATTTTTATGTATGTATTATTTTTAATTTATGCAATTGAAGATTATTTTTGTTTGTCATATCCAGTTGTTCCAACTCTTATTTGTTAAGAGGTTTCCTTTCCTCTGAGTAGCTTTGATGATTGTTAAAATTAAATTGACCATATGTATGTGAATTTATTTTAGGATTATGTGTTCTGTTTCATTGCCTTATTACAGTGAAACCAGCTGAATCCTCCAATACCTTTTTCTTCTTTGTTAAAAAAAATATATATATATATATATTATTCCTAGGTCCTCTGCATTTTTATATTCATTTTAGAATAAGTGGGTCAGTTTCTACCAGAGCCTGTTGGGATTCTGGTGGAGATTGTGTTGAACCTGTGAAACCATTTGGAGAGAGTTACATTTTAATAACATTTAGCCCATGAATGTGTTATATCTTTCTATTTAGGTTTTTATAATTTCTTTTACATATATTTTATAGTTTTTAGCATAGATGCCTCACGCAGTTTTTGTTAAACATATTCCTATTTTTCTGTTGTATTTTTGGGGGAGGAGGTTGTTTTTGTTTTTGGTTTTTTTTTTTTTTTTTTTAATGCCAGGAATCAAATTCATGACCTTGTGCTTGCCAGGCAGGGGCTTATGCCACTGAGCTAAATCCCCAGCCTCTGTTGTATTTTTTGATGCTGTTATAATATTTTCCATTTTTTCTGTTAATGAATGGAAACTTAGTTGATTTTTGTATTCTTTTTGAGTTTTGTAAATTGCACATGTATTCTTTTACCAGATGGCAAGAATCACATACCTTTTGGTCGCCTGTCACTACCTCTCTCCTTCAGGTGGTACTCACCTTAAGTTCACTATATTGAGCTCAACTTGATTTAAAATTTTAGTGTAGTAGCACCACAGAGCGACGTGTTTACCTTTCTTGACTTACAAAGAGCTCCTATTACAAAGAGCTCAGTAAAAATGTACAGATTAGAGCAAAAATTGACCATTTGTAGAAATTTAAAAATTCAGAGTCATGTGAGATCCTGAGTACTACTTAATATTATAGAATTCTATTTATTTTTTTATAGAATTCTATTTAATGTTAATACTTCCACATATACCTTATTTTATATTTGAGAAAGAACTTTCACACATTTTCATTTTGGCAAAAATTTTGTGAGGAAATTGAGGTGGCCATTTTTGTCTCCTCTGAAAGATGTTGAACCAGAAAGTTTAAGCATCTCGTCACACGGCTAGAGATGGACAGGCCTTGACACAAGTGTTCCAATATATAATTTACTACTGCATCTGCCTAGTGACTGCAATTAGATCAGGAAGGGCCTGAGGAAGCAGTTGAGAATATTGTCTGACCCCACTGTGGGGCAGCCAGCAGCTTCTCAACAGTAGATAGGAGAGGCTGGCTTCATTCTGACAAAAATTCCCCCCAAATAAAATAAAACAAAGTAAAAAAAAAAAAAAGGTTCATTTGTCCTTTTTTCTTGTGGAAATTTCCCAGTAGTTCTTGATTTCACTTTATTTCCCTTTCCCAATAAATCTCTGTTTCAGTCAGAAATCAGAAGCCTTGCTCAGAAATTTCACAAAGGACCTGTTCTGATATGTGAGTGACCGTTTAAAAGGATTATTCATGCTTGCTGGTTGAGATTCGGAATTCTGTGGGGCTCTGACGTGGTGATTTGTTTTGGGTATTTGATCTGTTGTGTAGCTCCCCAGTGCATTCTCATGATGGACGCTTTATCAGCCTTTTTCTTCCTATGTAAAATAAAGGCAGCTTTAAAACACTGATCTTGTCAGTAGTTTCCTACAATTTAATTTCCTACAATTTAATTTTTAAATTGAGAAAATCAGAGGATTGTGTGCATAAATGCTAGGCTTCAGGAGAATAACATTGAATAGTCAAAACAGGTTCAATGGCTTACTTGTGGAAACGCCTGGGACTCCAGATTGGGGAAGAGGGTTGCACCTTTGAACTGATGAATTATTCAGAAAACTTTCATTGTCCACAGGTAACTGTTGTTCCCTAAGGGAAGACTTTCCATGTCTACTCATACAGTGTCGCTAGAACAAGGAAGCTATTTAGCTCAGAATAATAAAGTTTCATCCTTGAAAATGGCATTCTTTTGGGGCTTTGTCATTGTGAATGTGTCTCATGTGTGTTTGCAGATGAGTCTGTGTTGCTGAAAACATTTTGGTTCAAAGGATTAGAGAAGTAAATACCATCCAAAGTATACTTGTGGCCCAATGTCCATCTCCATACTATGTGGAAGTATTAAATAATCCTCTGTATCATCATCCTTCAATAATGTTTACAAAGGTCTGTGCTCAGGGCTGTGCCGAATGCTATGCAAATCAAGGCAAACATGCAGGCTTGCGCCCTGCCCGCTAGGAATGTTTACACAAGCTAGCATCCTTGGCGACATCCGAGGAGCCAGATATGAGCAGTCTGTTTTGACTACAAGAAAGCCTGTACAAGGACCACACCCCTAAATATGGTGGTGAGGAAATTAGTGTTCTCTTACCCTCTCTTTTCTCTTTGTGCTACCCTTATTCATTCACTTAGGAAATACTTATAAAAGACCTTCTATGTCCTAGACGTGGTCCTCTGCCATGAACTTGCAGTCTATTGGGGAAGACAGAGAATAACAAGAGAAGACAACGTCTAGAAATGCGTATTTTAGTAACACAGGCTGTGGGGAAATGAACTCAGTGCACTAATTATTGCTTAGGATGGGGCAAGCTGCTTAGAGAGAGTAGCCAGGGGAGGACTTTCCCAGGAGGTCAAAGATCAGATACATGCAGCTGGACCTGGCTCTGATTCTGGGATTAGAAATGACCCACATAACACATGTGAAAACACTTATTCCTGACACCATGATCTACATCTATTGTTTGCCAATTCCTAACCTAAAACGTGTTCCAGTGTTTTATCTTGATCTTACTCAGCTAGTTGTCTGAACTCAGACAGTGTTAATCCCGCAAGTATGCAAGTATTTACTGATCTCTGGTGACCTTGGAGTTGCCACTTCTTTTCAGTCTGTTGTTTCATCTCCCAGATAAGTCATGATGTACAACAATAATGGGAAACAAAATGATGTGAATAAGTATCTGATTACTGAGTCTCCTGTACATTGTGTCTGCTATAAAACAGTGGAAATTATTTTACTTCAGCTTGAATCTTCTATATTAAAAATAACAACAGAAAGAAAAGTAAAATGAAAAATCCCTTTATTATAGCAGTTATTGCCCTGCAACTCTTCACATATACTTTGTTAGGATCAAAGCAGGAAAGAAATGGTACCAGCAAAAGGGGTTTACTACAGAGATTAGCAACCCTCAAATCAAGAAGGAATACGGAAGCACCCTGGGACAAGCCATGGCAGGAAACCCCTAGGACCTGGGTCAAGAAGAGGAATTAGTGTAACCATCACCCAGTGATGCCTAGCGTTATGGAAGATGGGCTGTGGGGCAGAAATAGTTTGTCAGAAAGGAAGAAAGACCTGTCACCTCTCTTTTTCCATCCTTAATCTCTAGCTGTGCCTTCTGTTGACCAAATCCAGCTGGAAGCCAGGGTGCATTGCTGTGAATTTCTGTTCTGTGC